TCTTGGAACAGAAATATTAGCAGCAATAATTGTATCGCTCATACCATCGTAAAAAGCTAGATCTTCTCTGCCATGGAATTATTAATAATAAATACACCACTTACCCAGAATCGTAGTCCCATAGGAATAATTCATTGTCAACGGTTACCCAGGCTCGTTGTATATCGGGGAATACACCCATTAAGCAATTCTTCCTCATGCCTAGGAGAAAATATTATAAATAAAAATGTACAGCTGAATTTTTCCATCAATTCAACAGGGAGGGCTGAGGTTTTAATAATTTCCAGGAGTCCTCCACAATAAGCAGGTGACTCAGGATAATCCAAATCATTGAGACCACTGACAGTTACCGAATCTTAAATAAAGTAAGCATAATAATTTACCGGAATTCTGTAAATCGAGGAGTGCTGGAAGATCGCGAAAACAGTTATCAGCTTGGATGAATTTATTGAGCCAATCGGATGCATAATCAGATAATGAGGGTTCTTGTAGCATGGCGTTCTATTAAAATTAGTGCGAATTGAGATAATGGATAGCAAGCATATGTCAGATGTCGCGTGGGAATTCAAAGCACCAGCAGGATCGGTAATTTATTTCACGCACAACGATTGGCCGGCTTAAACACAATAAAGGTGTCTGCAATTAAATTGTAAAAAGTTTTTTTACTAAATATAATTTTAAAATAAGATAATTTAATTTAAAGTTAATTGGTTGGGATTATCTGAATGACAGAGATTCCATTCGATGCTTGTCCATTAAATAACTTTATGCTTTCATTACAAAAAATAAATATACGTTTACAAACCTTTTATTAACTTGTAGATAAAGCAGTTTAAGAATGGATTCTATTTTTACCTAAATTGAGAAAGGATTTTAGTCGAGCAATGATAAACAAACAATTTATTTCAAATATTATTACTTTAAGAGGTTAAATGATACAATATGCTTTTCGCTAAAAACAAGGTGCATCAAGGGTCGCTTATAAACTTTTTTGTTATAGTCTAAATAAAAAGGGCATTACACCGGCTGAGACAAAGTCAAATTTGTCATTTTTTGGTTTGTATATCAGCATTTTTAATACTATCAGTAGATCATATATATGAGGTGGATTCATCCTATTTCGTTTAGATTGATAAGTGGAATGGTGGTTGAATTATTCCACGATGACATAAATATCTCTTACGTTTTTATTGAATTTCAAATACCGTTACTTTCCCAAAAATTACTCTCAACCATTACTGCAGTTTCAACTTCGAATAGGTCACATTAGCATCCTCAGCGAGAATCGTACCATAATAGTGCAACACATAACCTAGATTTGTTAATCACTACGCCACACTGCCATGAGTGCCCTTGTATTACAGCGTAGATGCGCATTTCAACGAATGTCCGGATTTTTTCATACCATATTACCTGGTATGATTATAGATTTTTTATTTATAATTTAACCTAAATGATTTACACTTTCTAAAAGCGTCTACATGCAATGGCCAAGCCTGTAGCTTGTTAGGTTGGATATAAAGTCTGTATTGACTCAGAAAAAGCCAGGAT